ACCAACCATGCTGCTAACGCCTTTGTCTATCAGAGTACTAATTCCAGAAGATGAGACCACCTGACCACAGGCAGGATACCAGCCACACTGCTATCACCTTACTCTATCAGGGCAGTGATGTCAGAAGATGAACCGACAGGCAGGAGACCAACCACGATGCTATCACATTGCTCTACCAGTGCAGAGATGCGAGAAGATGAGCCCAGAGGCAGGGGACCAACCACACTGTGATCACTTTTAACACCAGCTAAAATTTCAAAGATAAAAAAGGTAGCAGTTACATGTATGTCTGTCTGCATTGGCAAATACTGCTTTCTTTAAGCATGCCTGCATAAAAGTAGTGGGATTTACGGCAACATCCAAAAGGTATGGCTGAGGCTAGGAGTACCACAATAACTATAGGTAAGCTACAAGCAAATGGCTTTACCCATTTCCCACAGACTTATGTACTACTGTCAGCCTAAGCCAGTTGATTTAGACAAGGTCTATCACAAGCCAGTTGTAACACATGTAAACAAAGAATATACCTGGGACTGCTTTCTACTCTTGACACAACGTGAAAACTGTAGCTAATGGGTGTGAGGGGGGATTTCTTGAAGAATCTCTGAACTTCACCCTAAAAGAGCCGGGGAGGGGAATGCAATCTGCCCAACCCCCCTTTACCTTTTCAGTGCATTTTTTTCTATGAGCTGAGCCTTTGGGTGTTTTTTCCCAGTAAATCTTTGCGGTCATTTGACACCATTTTTGTGAAATCGAATGCACCGCTGTCCTGCAGCTCCACCTTTTTTCGAGACAGGTCAGTCAAAATTGCAGACTTTCCACTGTCATGCTCAACACATGCCGGTCCCTACGTAGGGTGCGTGGCCTTCAACTTGAAATGACTGTAACCATATGACAGATTGAAATGAACCTTAACATACATGTTCCAGTATTTGTCCTGCCAAGGAGCCTCTTTACGCCCATACCAAGTTTCTAAAACACAGCCACTGTGAGACGGTCACAAATACATGTAACTTGGCTCTTTTAGCTTTAAGGTGTTAGGCAGTGCAAGAGCTTAACGAAAATTAATTTCTAAACAGAAGGCAAACTTGACTTAAAAGTGACAGCTTTTTCTACCTTCTGGTTTCTCCATCCACTGTTCTTGTTCCTCATCACTGTCAGGGTCGCTGTCATCCAAGTCCTCATTGGAGCTTGATTTTCTCCTGCACCTGCTGCTTCACAAGAACAAAATGGAGATAAAAAGCAAATGTCATCATTGTCTCTAAGAGGCGACTTCAGCCGTGAAAAAGGAACAGTAACTTCATTCCAAAATAAAACCAAAAATAAAAGAAGAGTTGAATTTCCTCAATCTTTTGGTTTGTTCGGCCTTCTTGTTTTTCCTCTGGAAATAAGGAAATAACCCACCAATAAATACAAATCTTGGCAATATATACATGTATAGTGGAGAGTTGCATTGAATTGTCAAATTTGTTGGAAACTGGAAGTCACAACACAAAGTTTTGTCACGGAATTGTAAAGCTTGTTTCTGGTACATGTAGATCCTGTGCAAGTGACGTCACTTGACAATGCAGTAATGTTTATCGACCATTTTGGACAGCACGCACGCACGTGTACGTGTGGTACCAGACTGCATCATATGCATGCACTGCTACATGTAGTAAAAGCGCAATTTACGACAACTACACCGTCAGCAGGATAAGCTTTTTTGAAGTTGTATTCCACCTTGTTCGTGACAACATGGTGATATCTTGCTCAGCATATGGCTGTACGAACAGACAAGTCCAAAGAGACGGCATTTTGTTCTACAGGTTTCCAATAAATTTGGAGAGAAGAGCAAAATGGGTTGCGGTGTTAAAACGTGCAGACTGGACGCCGTCCAGCATGAGTAGAATATGTATCCAGTAAGCTATGGACTTCCAAAAAATATTTTATGGGATCCTTGTGTAGGAATTTTTGATAAACTCCTGAAATTTGTAGGGTTTGAAGTGTAAAACCTTCTTACAGTTTCCTGGCACGAAATAGTTGTTGCAAAAGCTGCATTGACTTTTCTCAAAATTTTGTCAACATGTCAAAATACTGCACATGTAACGTTAAGATATCGGATGATGGCTTTTCTTTTACTGTCAGTTCCCATTTGCTGTGTGGGCTGATTTCTTTCAAGTCTTCGCAGTAGACTCCAAGGCTTCAATAAACTCCCTATCACCCGACTATGTGCCATCCTTATTCTGCATCGTGACCTCACCGCAGAGGAGAAAAAGGTGGGAGAAGTGTAACGGTTTGAAGGAAGACAAAACACCAAGCGACGCAAGATTTAGGAGCAACAGAGGTCTACTGAAGCTGAAGCCCTCCTCAAGCTACGTGTTGCGGTAGATAAACAGGAGTCAGTTCCTCAAGAAGATGAAGCTCTGGAACCACAGGAGGAAAGCGAGGATGAAAATCCAACAGTTTCCGAGGAAGTTCTGAAGGCAGAATGTCAACATTCGAGGCAGGAAGTTTTCTTACTGAAAACAAAGCTGAAATTTCTGTCCCTGGATGAGGATTCCTTCAACGACAATGACACTAAAGTGAAAGACTTAACGGGACTTCCTTCATATTCGATGCTTACTGCTATCGTGAATAATGTGCTTGGGTACCTTCGTGAAAAAAAAATTCTAACTTTTTTCAGCAAGTGTTAATGACATGTATGAAACTACGATGTAGCCTCAATATGCAATTCATTTCATATCTTTTTGGTATTTCCAGGTCTACAATCTCACAGGTTTTTCATGATGTCATTCATGTTATGTACCGTCGTTTAGCGTCTGCTTTAGTATCTGATTGGCATAACACCT